AAAAAAAAAAAAAAAAAAAGAGCCAGAAACATGTCATGTGTGTTGTGCAGACCCTGAAGAGAATTTCAGGGAAAAGGAGGTATGTTGGGGTGTGTGTGTGTGTATGTGGGGTTTGTGGTGTTACTTCACCTGCAGGGAGATCACCAAATATAAGCAATAGCCCTTGTCTCCACCACTGGCTGGAGACAGAGCTGTTGCCCTACCTGGGAGAGGCAAGGCCACTAAGACGCCAAGGCAGAGTGGTTTGTTGGTGTGCACAATCAGTCACATGCTCCCAGCCCTCAGTAAAAGTGCCCTGTGGATCCTCCCCCCCCATCCAAGCAAGCCTGGCACCCCGACCCTACCTGCTCCCTCCGTCTTGAAGACTTGGCCCTCTACTACCATGACCACTACGGATAAACTGTGTGACGTTGCTGAACAGTGTAGCCCTGACATGTCATGAATTCCGAATTCAGTCAATCCAGAAAACACAGAATGGGCTAGGCAGGGTGGGTCAAAAGCTCTCTGGCCCCTGCCCTAAGCTCCCTGCTCATCTACAGGAAGTCATGGACTAAGGGAGAATAGGTAAGGGTGGGTAGTGAGAGAACAAGCATAGGCTCCTATCGCCAGGTTGGAAAGGGGCATCCTCTGAGGGTCTGATACGATCGTTCTCTCTCCCCTTTCGCAGGTTATATCCTACCCGCTGCCTCCATTCCAAGCTATTATTATTAAGACAGAGTCTCACTTTGTCACCCAGGCTGGAGTGCAGTGGCATGATCTCAGCTCACTGCAACCTCTGCCTGCTGGGTTCAAGTGATTCCCTTGCCTCAGCCTCCCAAGCAGCTGGGATTACAGGCATGCACCACCAGGCCTGGCTAATTTCAGGGATTTTTTCCTCTTTTTTCTTTTTGAGACGGAGTCTCTTTCTGTCGCCCAGACTGGAGTGCAATGGTGTGATGTCGGGTCACTGCAACCTCTGCCTCCTGGGTTCAAGCAATTCTCCTGCCTCAGCCTCCCGAGTAGCTGGGATTATAGGTGCCTGTCACTACGCCCAGCTAATTTTTAGTAAAGATGGGGTTTCACCATGTTGGACAGGCTGGTCTAAAACTCTTGACCTCAGGTGATCCACCTGTCTTGGCCTCCCAAAGCGTTAGGATTACAGGCGTGAGCCACTGTGCCTGCCCTGTTTTTTGTTTCTTTTCTTTTTCTTTTTTTAATTTTCCTTGCCTCCGTTACCTGAAACATCTGAATCTCATGGCCTGTTTTGTTGTGTTTTTTTTGCTTGTTTGTTTTTTGAGATGGAGTCTCACTCTGTCACCCAAGCTAAAGTGCAGTGGTATATCTCAGCTAAGTGCAACCTCTGCATTCCAGGTTCAAGTGATTCTCCTGCCTCAGCTTCCCAAGTAGCTAGTATTACAGGCATGTGCCACCACGCCAGCAAATTTTTATATTTTTAGTAGAGATGAGGTTTCACCATGTTGGCCAGGCTGGTCTTGAACTCCTGGTCACAAGTGAATAGTTTGCCTGGGCCCATTCCAAATTATGAACCAGAAACACTTCTTCTTGCTTCAGACTTGGTTCTTAGCCTGGACAAAATGCAAACATTCAACCAAGTCCCTCCATACCCTCTTTGGACTTGAGATCAAGGCAAGGTTCTGTTGTCAGAAGGCCCTACATTTAAACCCTGAGTCTGTTGCTTGTAGGCAGCATGATTCTGGAAAACAGGTATTTCAGGTCTCAAAACCTTAGCTTCTGGGAATTGGAAATATTTCCTATCTGAAAGGATTTTTTTTTTTTTTGAGAGTCTTGCTCTGTCACCAGGCTGCAGTGCAGTGGCGTGATCTTGGCTCACCACAACCTCCACCTCCCAGGTTCAAGCAATTCTTCTGCCTCTGCCTCCCAAACAGCTGGGATTACAGGTGCATGCCACCACGCCCAGCTAACCTTTTTGTATTTTTAGTAGAGACAGAGAGACAGGGTTTTACCATATTGGCCAGGCTGGTCTAGAACTCCTGACCTCGCCCAGTCTTTTTTTTTTTTTGAGATGGAGTCTTGCTCTGTCCCCCAGGCTGGAGTGCAATGGTGCAATCTCGGCTCACTGCAACTTCCACCCCCTGGGTTCAAGTGATTCTCCTGCCTCAGCCTCCCAAGTAGCTGGGATCACCACCACGCCAGGCTAATTTTGTATTTTTTTATTAGAGACATGGTTTTGTCATGTTGGTCATGATGGTCTCAAACTCCTGACCTCAGGTGATCCACCCACCTAGGCCTCCCAAAGTGCTGGGATTACAGGCATGAGCCACTGCACCCGGCAAGTTACTAGCATTTCGTAACAGCATAGACTGGGATTCCGGCTTATTGCCTAGTGCATAGTAGGGACTCATCAAAATACTGGTTTTCCAAATCTACCAACACATCTGAGACAAGAAGTTCAGATGTCAGGTGTGGGATTCATGCCCAGGGTACTCGGGTGGGCAGGAGGGCAGGGCTTACCTTGGCCTCCTCCAGGGCTGCTGGTGACTCCGCATTACAGGCAGTCTGGTTCGGAGTGGCCATCATCTTCCGTTTCAAATATTTCTGCAGATGCCTGGAACTAGTGACACCTGTTTTGAACAACAATAGAAACCCAAGTCCTGAAGGAACGTTCTCAGGAAAACCCCGAATACAAAAATTAGCCGGGTGTGGTGGCGCCCAGAATTGTTTCCCCAGGCAGCGGCAGCCATTTTGTACCCCAGCCCTTCATACCCTCATTCTCAAATGCAGGCCCCGGAAGGGTGCCTCCACTACTGGGTTTCACACCTCCAGCCAGCAAGGGGGCACATGGGATTCAGGGGCCATCTTTCCAGTCCTGCTGCTCGGGTCCCTCACCAGGGCTCATGTCCTCCTGGAAATCACCAAGGCCCAGGCTGGCAGCCAGGAAGCCAGGTGTAAGCTTTGTTCCGCCAACCACCAAAGCGGAAAGGAGACTGCCTGGGCAGGCTGGAGTGCAGCGGGGCTGCGGCGGCGACAGAACATGGGGCAAGCTCAGGAGTCCCTTCCCACTGTCTCCAGGGGCCCCAATCTTGATGCAGTCCTGCATCCCCAATCTTGATGCAGTCCTGCATCCCCAATCTTCTCCCCAAGCTGGGCTCCAAAGGCTAGAAGCACAGCTGGGACCTGGGCCAAGCCTGGAGTCAAAGCCTTTTTCTCTAAGGTTCTGGCCTGCCTCCCTCCTTCCTCTCAGTAAGGGAAATGGAGGAAAGGGGAAAGAAGTCTTCGCGCTACATGCAGCTGGGAGGGAAACCGAGCTGGAATAAGGATGGATTTCTTGGAATAGGTGAAATAGTGATGAAAAGAGGTTTTGCAAAGGTGAAACTAACCTATTATTCGCTGTCAAGGGCTATGCACACCACTACATCTGTGTATCTTTCTGTGCGACTGCGTGTCGGTGCAATTCCCAACGCCTGAGCCCTACCTCTTGCTGCAGTTGCAGCAGCTCTGGTCAAGCCGCTCAGGGAACTAAGATGGGGGGAGGAGATAGCCTGGACGCGCGGTGCGTGCTGGGGATTGTAGTTCTTCTAGCCTGAAAAGCGGGCCAAACGCCTGTCACGTCAACAGCCACACCCAAGATTCCAAAACCCATCTACCCTTGCGCGGGGGGCAGCCCGCGCGCGCACCGCTGCTTTTTTTGATTGGTGAAGTCATCTGCCAATATTCTCACTTTTGTCAACGATTAGCTGTGTGGAGGCACAACTGGACCCGCCTTGTCCGAACTCCAAGAGTTCATTGATGGCGTTAATCTTTACGGGGCGGAAAATAGATCCGGCTGAGATGGGCGGGGCAGTAGGAGCGGAGGGATCCTTGGCCTTTGAGGAAGGCGACGAGAAGATCGGCGGCCATCGCCGCCATTTTGGGCTGGGAGGAGGCAGCGGAGGGACTCGCTGCGCAGTGAGAGCACCCCGTGGGGGGTGGTCCGGGCGCGGGGAGAGGCCGGGCCGAGTGGGCTGCCTGAAGTGGCGGCGCCGGGAGACAGCGGGAAGTGGGACCGGGGGCCAGGGAGGGTGAAGGTTGGAGTCTCCCCGGCTGAGCCCGGTCCTCAAACCGTCCCGGCAGCCCCGCAGCCTCGCCTTTCATAGAGTGCGGGGTTCCTCGGTAATTACCGCGTGTTTCCCGAGACCCCAGCAGAGGAGAGGCTGGTCAAACGGCTCTCCTCTGCCGTCCTTCCACAGGGGCGCGGATGCTGAGGCCGAGCTCTGCCGACTTCCCTCCCAACCCCCATTCGGCCTGGGTATGGCGGCGAGGCCCCGCCGAGCGGGACTCCCACTTCGACTGGCGAGGTGGGGGCGACGCCAGATTCCAGAGGCTGGCGCCGCGGGGGAGGGCGGAGGTCGCAGGTCGCCGGTCTGGCCGCACGTCCCTCCCGTGTGGCAGTCAGCCGGAGGCTCCGAGGGCGGAGATCCCAGTGCACCCACCCACCTTACCTCGCGTACACCAAAGCGCCATCTCGCCGCCCGGGGTGCGAAAAACCACAGCCCTCTTTAACTGTAGCAACCACTAATTCCCCCGGGACCAGCCAGATAGGGGCACTTGGAAACCTTCACGAGCCCGATGCCTGGAGGCCCCTGAGGCTCTTGCCCTCAAGAATATCTCCTACCCAGTCCCTATTCTCCGGACAACCTGACCTAGCACGTCGCCAGCCTCCTGGTGAAACGCCTAAAGTGTGCTGTCCCACTTCTCTTGAAAATTTACACCAAAGGGATGAGGTTTTGCCCTCTACAGGGCTGGGGCACAAAGTCAGAGTCGCTGCGGCTCAGAAATAGAAATGGAGTGGCCCGTTTCGTATGCTTCATCAACATCTGCTTGGATTTTGAAATCTGAGCGTTAACTTTTACAAAACTTTTATTAGAGAAATGGCTGCCCTCCTAGAGGGAAAAATGAACTATAGTAATTCCAGTGTAATCTTGTAAGATTACAGAATCTTTAAAGAATTTTTTTTCCCACAGACTAAACAAAATCAGAGTATTTTGTGTGCTACTGGTGCATTGTTACTAGGTAACCTCTATTTTTTAAAATTCCAAATAATTGAAAGACCACTTCTGTAGATCCTAAATGCTATCAAAATAGAAGCTGCAGTTTTTATCTACTTCATATATGTAGCATTTAGGAGTTGATGAGACCTGCTTTGAAAGAATAAATTCTTAACCTTACATTATAGCTGTAGCAGCTTCTTAAAGATTCAAGTTTGAAGTGAAATTCTTTTATTGAATTGCAGATTAAACCATCATATTTCCTACTGCTTGAAATCTAAATCCAGAGAGATTTGTGGCTCAAGGATATGTTCAAATAAAAGCTTTGTTGCTAAAATGTTAGTTAAAATTATGCCTAGGTAGGCTCTGAAGTAGGAGAGGCTCTGACATAGCAGGGTGACTGGCAGTGAATTTTGTGGGTACCTTGTGATGAGTCTTATCAGTTACAGATGGTCAGAACATTCCTATGCCTTTGGCCTTTCTAGTAAATATCTTAAAAGTTTTACTGAACTTGGCACAGTGGCTTACGCCTGTAATCCCAACACTTTAGGAGGCTGAGGCGGACGGATCACCCGAGGTCGGGAGTTCGAGACCAACCTGGCCAAAATGGTAAAACCCCATCTCTACTAAAAATACAAAAATTAGCCGGGTGTGGTGGTATGTGCTTGTAATCTCAGCTACTTAGGAGGCTGAGGCAGGAGAATCACTTGAACCTGGGAGGTGGAGGTTGCAGTGAACCTCAAACCATTGCCCTCCAGCTTGGGCAACAGAGCAAGACTCTGTCTCAAAAAAAAAAAAAGAAAGGTATTCCAGAACTGAAGTCCCCCTATTAATTTTTTTCAGTTGGCGTGACAATTCCACAGCATTAGCTGTTGTTTCCCTCTGCTCCCCAGACGTGTTACAACTGGATTACAAAATAGGGATCACCATTGAATAGAGTTCTCAATCCAGAACTGGAACCACTTACTCCTAACTGAAGCATCAGTACACTTGATTCCTACTGTGGGTTGATTTTTGACCTACGGCATGTTGGCTCTACACTGATCAAGAGATAAGAGTTAAGAAAAGCTAACTAACTTGGTAGTAAATAGTTACAGGAGCAGAAAAGGTTTGTAAAGATGATCTTTTTGGCTCTTCTGTCAAGAATTTAATGGGGGACGATCCTAGACACTTGTGATTCATCATTATGAAGTAATCTTTTTTTTTTTTTTTTTTTTTTTATTAAAAAAAAGGTGTTTTTTTTTTTTTTTTTTTTTTTTTTAATTAAGAGACAGGGATTCGTCATGTTGGCCAGGATAGTTTCGAACCCCTGACCTCAAGTGATCCACTCGCTTTGGCCTCCCAAAGTGCTGGGGGATTACAGGCGTGAGGTGCTTGGCCCATTATGAAGTAATGGATGCTACTAAGTGGCAAATACTGTACCAGCAGCAGAAATTTGTTACTCATTTATAATATTTATAAATGAAACTTACTATTTTTAAGATTGACCCACAAGCTTTTCAATTCTTTGCTAAGAAAAATTGGGAATAGGCCAGACATGGTGGCTCACACCTGTAATCCCAGCACTTTGGGAGGCCGAGGTGGGCGGATCACAAGGTCAGGAGTTTAAGACCAGCCTGGCCGAAATGTTGAAACCCCATCTCTACTAAAAACAACAACAACAAGAAAATACAAAAAGTAGCCAGGTGTGGTGGCAGGCACTGGTAGTCCCAGCTACTCTGGAGGCTGAGGCAGGAGAATCACTTGAACCTAGGAGGCGGAGGTTTCAGTGAGCCAAGATCAGGCCACTACACTCTAGCCTGGCCACAGAGTGAGACTTCGTCTCAAAAAAAAAGAAAAATTGGGAATAAAACTGGTTTATTAATGGCCTCCTGGTTATCTAAGGAAAACACAGGACTGAAAATTAGGAGCGCCAAGCTCTATTTCTGTGTGTGCTGCCACACTTGGTTGGCTTGGCCAGAGGCCAAATACTGATGATGAGGCCAAACTGGTCATTTTCTTGCTGAGTCTATTGTTCATCTACTGTCCAACCAGACTTTCAACTTCCTCCTCAGCTCTCCCCTTTCAGATGTGTTGTGTTGTGCTTTTATGACAAATCCTACAAACTCTATGTTCCTCAGTTTCCTCACTTGAAAATGGGATCAGTGCTGTCTCCCTCAAATGCCCAGAGGAGTAACTAGCCTTAAGTCGGTTTGTAAACTCCTTGTAACTTTGTTATATGGGAACTTCACAACTAATGCTTCAAAGATTATTGGGGCAGTTGGAAAGCCTGCCTTACCAAAGATGTCCATAGCTTCACAGAAGAGCCATCCAAGTAGGCTGAAGGAGGATCAGTCTTTCAGGGTACCCGCTGGTTGTTGCCGTGAAGTCCTGGACACTCATTTTGCCTGATGGCCAAATCCTAGGGGCCAGTGACTATGTTTGAGTAGGATTCATTGACAGAGGAGGAGTGTTGTGGTCTTTTTTGGGAGACGGAGCTTTGCTTGTCACTCAGGCTGGAGTGCAATGTCGCAATCTTGGCTCACTGCAGCCTCCACCTCCCAGGTTTAAGCGATTTTCTTGCCTCAGCCTCTTGAGTAGCTGGGATAACAGGCATGCACCACCACACCTGGCTAATTTTTTGTATTATTAGTAGAGATGGGGTTTTACCATGTTGGCTAGGTTGTTCTCAAACTCCTGACCTCAGGTGATCTACCCACTTCAGCCTCCCAAAGTGTTGGGATTACAGGCGTGAGCCACGGAGCCCGGCTGATTATTATTATTATATTTCCTACTGCCTATATAATTGCAGAAAAGGAGTGATTCTTTACCAAGCAGTTCTTCTTCGGGATGAAGAGGCTTGTTCTGAACTGTTTGGTTTCCAAGTTAATCAATTTTTTTTTTCCTCTTTTTTTGAGATGGAGTCTGGCTCTGTCGCCCAGGCTGCTGGAGTGCAGTAGCGAGATCTCAGCTCACTGCAACCTACACCTCCTGGGTTCAAGCAATTCTCTTGCCTTAGCCTCCCGAGTAGCTGGGATTACAGACGCATGCCACCATGCCCAACTAATTTTTATATTTGTATTTTTAGTAGAGACAGGGTTTCACCATGTTGGCCATGCTGGTCTCAAACTTCTGACCTCAGGTGATCTGCCCACCTCGGGCTCCCAGTGTGCTAGGATTGCAGGCATGAGCCACTGTACCCGGCCAGTTAATCAGTTTTTTAATTATCCTCTGTTTAGGTGTCAACATCCTGTTCTTGATATTTTCTCTATTTAAATTGTCTAAATGATCAGGCGCAGCGGCACATGCCTGTAATCCCAGAACTTTTGGAGGCTGAGATGGGTGGATCACCTAAGGTCAGGAGTTTGAGAACAGCCTGACCAATATGGTAAAACCCTGTCTGTACTAAAATTACAAAAATTAGCCGGGCATGGTGGTGTGCACCTGTAGCCCCACCTACTTAGGAGGCTGAGAGGCAGGAGAATCGCTTGAACCCGGGAGATGGAGGTTGTAGTGAGTCAAGATCGCACCACTGCACTCCAAGCTGGGTGACAGCAAGACTTTGTCTCAAAAAAATAAAAATTGTCCAAATATATTGCTGTTTTATTAAGTACATTTTTAGTAACTAGGGAGGAAGACAGGACTAACCTATGACATACTCCTCTCTATCTCCTAATTTGGTCTTTTGCCTTTGCTTAAAGGTTGTCCAGGGTTAAGTCCAGGGTTAAACAGATATGCAGAAATCCTTTTTTTTTTTTTTTTTTTTTTTTTTTTTTTGTGAGACAGTCTTGCTCTGTTGCGCAGACTGGAGTACAGTGGTGCGATCTCGGGTCACTGCAACCTCCACCTCCCTGGTTCCAATATTTCCCCTGGGATTATAGGCACACGCCACCATGCCCGGCTAATTTTTTTGTATTTTTAGTAGAGACAGGGTTTCACCATGTTGGCTAGACTGGTCTTGAACTCCTGACCTCAGGCAATTCGACTGCCTCGGCCTCCCAAAGTGCTGGGATTACAGGTGTGAGCCACCGCTGCCGGCCGGAAATACATACTAATGTAGATTTCAGAATTTCAGAACTCCAAATTAATTTCCTAATCCGGTCCTCTGGAGGCTAGGTGAAGTTCTGTTGAATAGTTTACAAGACAAGTATTGCTCTCATTTTCTCAAATTCTTGTGTTTGGAGCACTCTGAAGTTCTCTGATTTTCCTTCAGGAATATGCTTTTTTTTTTGGAGACAGATTCTCACTCTGTCGCCCAGGCTGGAGTGGAGTGGCACTATTTCAGCTCACTGTAGCCTTTGCCTCCAGATGCAAGTAATTCTTTTGTCTCAGCCTCCTGACTAGCTAGGACTATAGGCATGTAGCACCAAGCCTGACAAATTTTTTTTTTTTTTTTTTT